TTTAGGATAGGTGGTGAGAGGGGGGAGCTGGCAACAAGAGGGGAGAAGAGGCAATAAACGATTTTCATCAGTAGCCGAGGGAGAATGAGATGGGCTGGAGAGGGTGGGCGGAATCCAATGTGCTCGCCTTCCATTATAAGAATCATAAAATACTTTTAATGACCAAATATTGGGCTCTTTGAAACTAGATATTGGATCATATTACAAGCATTATGGTTTCACACTTTGGCTCACACACTTTGGTGCAGACAAACTGTGTAATGTCATAGTGTGGATCTACTGTAAATCCATCACAGCTAAAGATGGGCTTATTAAAGGAATGTAATATGATAGTGACACAGAGGGACGGACACTGCAGCATGCTCAAAGCGAGTTGGATTTCTGCAGAAGAAAACGTATGTTACACCTATCCCAATCTTACAATCCATTGGCTATTGTCATATGTGTGAGCTTCTGGGCGATTAGGCCCATTTTTTAAGCCCATTTCCACTTTAGGTTTCCTGCTCTGTCTGCTGGTCACCATTTATGAATGCAGATAAATTTAAAGAGCTAAATAATTTTCAGACAACAGCTGACATCACATTGTGCTTCTTCTGTTTCCACATAGCCCATATGGCAACTTAAATGTCAGTGCTACCCTGACTAGAAATAGAACACAGTCCTGAAATCTTCCAGTAACAAAAGTCTTGCCTCTTGCCTATAATTTCATCATATTCATATGGAGAAATATGTTCACAGAGATTCCATGTATACTGACTTTTTTTTTTTTTACATCATTTATATGTTGGCCAACTGTCTAATTAGTTTACTGATGCAGAATGCATTTTTCGATTTTTTTGTATATGCGATCCAGGTAATTGCATTCCTTCTGGTAACACCTTACAAACGATCTGATTCTCCACATCCCCTCAAAGATTTGCAGAATGATGCTGAATATGACATTCTGAAGATCAGAACTAAACTTGAAATAATGACGTCAAACATAAACTAAAGATTTTCTGAAACAATTTAAAGCGTGGTTTTAGCATGGATATGAAGTCAAACACTGTCTTCCTGCTCCAGCTACACTCGCCAAATAGCATCCCCATCCTTAATGTCCCAAAGTCTCATTTATTCCAGCCACTAAACTGGTTTGACGCAAGCAAAAAAAGAATGCTAGACACTGAAAACACATTCCAAAGTAATGAATTACTAAATCCAGTAATTACATTACAGTTACAATACTGTCTTTGCGTTACAAAGGTTCTTATGCTATCTGCATGCTAGGTGGATAGAAAGGGGTGATCCGCATTAACTCGCTAACGGTGATTTGCCACGTTAATGCGGTTATGGCATTAACGTCATTTTAACGAGATTAACGCTGACAGCACTACTTAAAATATGTTTGTACTTGAGGAAATTAAAAGAATGCATCAGTAAAAGTTCTCTCAAAGGGAGAAGATGAGTAGCAGCTCTAAACCACTCGGGGAACTAAGGCCAGATGCTTGGGGTGGGTTGAGATGTGCCAGCATGTCACAGCATTTGAATAAAATTAAAGAAGAAAAAAAAAGAAAAAAAAGTATATGTAACCATGCATAAAAGGATATATAAAGGAGACAGAAGGAGACTAAAGTAAATCCACAGTGAAATTTTGTAGTAGGAATGTTCGGAATCTGGGTGTGCTTGGCTACACTAGGACTCCTGCACCAAATCAGTTCCATGCAGACCAAGGAGAAGCCTCTCTCAAGCCATACACCTCATACTTGTGGAAAGGGATTGATACTGCAGCAGGATAATGAGCCCAAATCGCTTTGCTTCACTACTTGAAGGCCAAAGAAAAGTAGAGAGTGCCGACCATTATGGACTTTTTTCCACATTCACCTGAACTCAACTCCACTTAACGTTTTCAGCGATGCCTGAAAACTGGGGAAGCCAAGGACTCCTGACATCAGAGAAGCTTCTGGAACATTGCAAAAGAATCCTAGCTTAACATGAACGTATTCAGTGAAATTTAATGCCTACCGAGTTGATGCTTTCAACCAGTAAAAGCCAAAAGGTGGACACACCAAACACCATCATCATACTGTGAAAATGCATGTGCATTTTCCAAAGATTTCCTTTTTTACCTATGATGCTAATATTAGTACAACTTGCAAATTGCAAAGAAACAAGCTTTGAGAAGGACTGAAATAAAAAGTAAAATCGATAGCATACTGTATTTCTAAATCACAAAAACAAAAAAAGCAAAGCAAAACATCTTCACATCCACGAAGGAGTCAGTGCATCTTTGTACTAGAGTAAAAATGTTGGTAGTGTAAGTTAGTTGTATCGCTCGGAGTATAAGTGCACACTTATAATAAAGAACATGATTTCTATCATTTTACTGGTTATTTTAGGAACGTGGAAGTATGGAATAATAACAGTGTGCAATACACATACACTTATTCGTCATTTGATTACTAATTTAAGTTACTGTGTTGTGATGTGTCGTGTCATGTTGTGTTGTGTCGTATGTAGTGCCGACGTGGGACAGTTTTCCAATTTCATTGTACTATTGTACTATGTATGACTGTGCAATGACAATAAAGAGTTATCTTAATCTCATCTTAATGTGTTTGATTTATTTTTGTAACTTTATCCTTTGATCGTATCATATTTATCAACTCTCCCCACCTTTAGCCTGAGCAGAAGCCCAATGTGCCATAAACTCAAATTCAGATAAAGATCCAAACCCTAGCCTTTTCTAGAAAAACATTTTGATACGTTTGAAATTAAATCTGAAATCTGAAAAGAAGCTAAAAACAAAAAAGAGAAGACTGAAAATGACAGCTATCGCTTCATCTCTTCAGCTGAAGGTCCTGAAACTGCTTGTGCTGGTTTACAGTGACAAGTATAAATGTGTGCTGTGCCGAGTAGGTCAGCGAGCAGCCTCTGATCAGAATGACCTTAAGAGAAGAGATGAAAATGAAGAAACTGATAACGGCTAAATTGATCAGTATATGCCAACTATAAATAATGTGTATATGAGACATTGGCATCTATTTTGCATGAAAACAGGTTAGCTTGAAGGGCACTTGGGAATGAAATTCAGCTAACACCCCTTTTTGTCAGTTTTAAGGAACGTGATCCCGGTCTAGAGTCTTCCACTGTCCATGCACGTCTAGCACGTCTTCACCAAGTGTCATGAATTTGGCTCAATTAGTTTTTGCGAGGTGTCAACATTAACTTTTCCCATATAGCAAACCTCGCACGCTGTCAATTTGAGAAAGCCTGAAAGAAACTTGAATTAAAAAGTAAACTTTTGATGACAGGCAAAAATTAGGTCAGTGTGACAAAACCCGAGCAGAGCCAACAATCTAAATGGCAAAGAGTCATCTTCTGATAGGTGACGAAATCGAGTTATTGCTACAAATCTTTTCTTTGCTTGATAAAATGGCCGCTGCTATCAGCTGACAGTGAATGTCATTGCAGGTGAACAGAGGAAATTGCGCCTTGAAGTTGAGTAATTGAATTTGTAAAAGTCATCGTATTAGCCTGTGATGTGAAATGCAGATTCAAAGGGGGTTTCAATTTACAAAAAGGGTCGAACCGCAATGAAATTGCCACTATTACGGCTCCCGGACACACACAAAACACACACTGTGTCATTAACACAGCTTCCCATTTCATATTGCTCCTGGCATTACTGCACCTGCCTCGGAGGAAGTTGAGATGTGTGACTATAAACCTCAGATGGTATTTTGTTACTGAGGGACTGTGAAAATGGTCTTCACACTTTGGCTGGTAATTCTAATGTCTTTATGAGACGACCTGTCAGAATTTCAATATCTTTTACAAAGCTGCTAGCAGTAAGAGGAGCGCCAGTGAAGCATCCTCATCCACTGAACAGTAGCTGTGGTGAAGGACATTAAACCAAAACACACACTATAAAGCATATTTTCAAGACCCCTGGGGCCACACTTGACAAAATACAGAGCTTTTATATTTATATGGTGTATGTAAATAGAGCAGGGAAGAAACACTGCAAAGCAAGGTGAAAATAACTGTGGAAAGAGAACACTTTGTGGATGTTTCAGGGTTTGTGCTAAATGGGTGAAGAGCAAAATAATAACAGAGCCCCAAGCAGCCTGAGGTTCTAGGATTCTTCCCCTAAAATCTTAAGCAGCAAGATAAAAATAATTCATCATGCACCACCATGGAGCAGGTAAATGTATCTCAAACATGTAGTCTCCTTGAGCTTTAAAAAAACAAAAAAAGACAGGCAATGAAACCGTCACTCACATTCACTCGCACATTAAAACCTAGTGGCAATTTGGATTTTCCCACAAGCTGCATGTCTTTGGATGGTGAGAGGAAGCCGGAGTATCCGGAGGGAACCCACACAAACACGGGGAGCACATGCAAACTCCACAGAGAAAGACCCCGGCCTGATGTTGGAATTGAACTCAGGACCTTCTTGCTGTGCGGCAACAGTGCTAACCACCGTGCCACCGTGCTGAGAAAACTCATATGAAACACATATTTGAAGGGCGGGGTGTTTGCACAAGTTCTTAATTCTTCTCTGTACATAATCTACATGTAGAAGACAAAAAATATTCTGCTTTTCCTTATTTTCTGTTATGTGTCTGCTTTTAAACATAGATAGTTTGAAAGTTTCCAAGAGTAAGGCATCTCTGTGAGGTAAAAACTGTTAAACTTAAACTGCAAGCCAGATATCCTTAGACAGCTCTGTCAGTCAGCACAGAAGCCCCACCCACTTCCAGTTCCAACCTCCTCTTTTCTAGCTGCAGCCTATCAGAAGAAAGGGGAGGGGCAAGATGAATAAACCATTTTGCTCAGACAGAAGATGAACTGAGGGGCTGCAAGACGGCCCAGTGTAGGACAAATAAGGATTGCTTTTGAAGGATGAATCATGTAGCAGTTTTCAAAAATACAAATATGGAGTTGGAAACAAGCAGTTGTTAAAAGAATATTCAACATTAATGATCGAATGAAAACTACAAACAGTCCAGTTATCAAACCTTTTTGGTTGTCAATGACAAAGTTGCCCTCCTCATTTCCTGTGGTGATCTTATACGTGATCCCATCACCATCGGGGTCCTTTGCCAGCACCGTAGCAACCAATGTGTTGGGGCCTGCGTCCTCTGAGACAAACGTCCGATATCTGATAAAACACACAAAAACAAGAGCACAATAAGCACCTCAACTACACACATGGTGAAAATGAGATACATTCAACAGCTGCATTGTCAATTTTCAAATCTATTTCATCTAGTCCATACAGGACCAGCAGTTCAATCCGCCACGTAGAACAAAACAGCTCATAAGGAAGCTCGTAAAAAATATTGACTCATATGAATTGTAACTGTGTCACACACGGTCTGTATTATCAACCAAATGCACCACCTTCTCTACATATCATAGATCTCTTATTGTATTTGCAATTTAGTTATGAAAATGATGAACCCTACTTGCCATAACTGCTGAGGAAACACTAAAAATCGCAGGTTTACTACATTGTTGTTTAAAGAATGGAGACAAAATTAGAGCAACAATTGGAAGAATGTGAAGTTAAGGAAAAAGTGCATTTTCCATTTTTTCCCCAAAACATTTTGTCTATATTCGACTGTATAATAAGCAAAAATGGCTCATTCCTCCTGCCTGGCATTACGTCATCATGTGTTGCCTACTGTCACCAAAGAGAGCTTCATCACATGTTTACAGCTACATCCATAAAGGGCCTGACTGTGTAAGTGGTTCTCAGTTTTAAGTCAGCAGTAATAACAGTGGAACATATCTGGAGCCACTCTCAAACACAGTGAATCAACAACATGTAACAGAGGTGTGTTAAAGGCTGAATGCAGCTTTGCACATTCCATGTCATACCAGATAGTTAATTGCTTCCTCCTTGAGCCCCAGGTGTTAATCAGTCCCTGAGCAGATGCAAATATGTAAGCCAGCAGATTCCTGAGCAGCAGCATACAGGAGAAGAGAAATAACTCAGAAATTCACTTTTAGATGCAATTCGCATAAAAAAAAGAATCGTATAGCAACTTACATATAGAAAGTAATCTTATGATTATTCCTACAATAAAACAAGACTGAGCAGGCATGAGTAGCTGTCAGCACAGTACTCACAAATTCTTCAACACTCCAGAGGACACTCGTGACTGAACACTAATCAAATTTCAAAGGTCTGCACGTCTGTCGCTCAAGGGAAATGGCAAAGAAGAGATTCTTGCAGACGTGAAGGGTAAACATCACCTTAGACAGAAATGCTTTCACAGTTCTGCTTAAAGCTTTTAAACATTTAAGGGTGCATCCCTTAAATGTTAGTGTGCATATCTAACCATGAGGTCAAAGACAAAGGCCTCATCTAACATATCAATTGATATCATACAGGGATGCGATTAAGGGAAAAACTCAAAAAAGGGTCTCTCTGTACTGTGCCTTTGCTGTGGCACTTCAGAATCTGGCCTAGACACATCCCATTTGCATGATTAATCCCTGAGATGTTGAAAACTCTCCTAGAGTCCATCTCTACTGCACATCTGTATAAGCTACCTCCCTGACCTGCATGTTAGGGCCAACACCTAAGCTATGAAGTCCAAAGAACTCTATTTACACGTCCGTGACAAACTGAGGCAAAACACAGATCAGTGCAATAGTATGAGACCATCTCTATAGCTCAGAGTGTTCTCAAGAACACTCTGGTCTCAATAATTGTGAAATGGAAAAAACACCAGGACTCTACAGAGATGGCCATCTGGCCAAACAGACCTTGCTGGAAGGATAACCGTCTCAGTAGCACTCCATCACTCGGGCCTTTGTGGTGAAGCAGCTAGACGGAAGCCACTCTGCGTTAAAGCCACTTGACAGACTGTGTGGAGTTTCCGAATGAATTTAAAGGACTCTGAACACAATAGAAATGATTCTCTGGTCTGATGAATCAAAAACTTTTTGGGCTTGGTGTCTGGCTGATAATGTCTTTACTGTGAAAAGTGGTATGACATCGTAGCGGTGCTTCTCTTGGACACAGTCACTGAGAAGGCAAAAAAATCTGCTTTATAGTGCACGTGATGACTGCCCCAGACCGCTCATCCCCATAAAGGAGCAATCCTTTTAAGGAAACACTGATGCAAGTCAAGGCATTTAAATCAGTTTAAAGCGTATATTTACATGTGCATGTATAAGTTATTAATTTGATGTGATGTATATTTGCTATCAGGCTTCACATACCAAGCTCAGTGCAGCTTTTTGCTATGAAATTCTGCTTCAGTTTTTATCTTTGTAGCTTTGTGTAACACTGTGAACTTCAGCTTTGAACTCTTCTATGGCCTTGCTCATACATCTCTAAACCACTCATGTGCTTGAAAGCAAAACTTTTCTTTAAAGGTTGACCCTTTCAACTTGTTAAGATGAAACTGACCCTCTACATTCTTTAAACATATTTCAGCTGCCTTTATGTAAATAGCTGATCATTACATAATGCATGCCACCTTCTCTGGATGGTTAGTGCTACATAAAGAACTGCCTTGGCATCAAGACTAGAAACATCTGAATAAATAAAACTGCAAATATTTAATGGAAGACCTCATGATTACTATAAAAATTAACCATACTGGTGGTTAAATGACGACGATGAGTCTCAAGTAGGGCTGCTCGATTATGGCAAAAATGATAATCACGATTATTTTCACTGAAATTGAGATCACGATTATTTGACGATATTTATTTAACCCTTTAAGACCTACTATAGAACCAAGTCCGCCAGAGCTTATATTATTTTTTTTACATGTTGTAGTGCCGTTTGTGGGAGCATTTCAAGTTGCTATACATCAATACAACTGTTATAGCCCATATTTTAATAATATATATGCATTAAGTCCATAGTAATTACATAAATTGCAAAAAAGTGCAATAAACTACAAAAAAAATTGAAAATCGCTTTTGTTTTGTTTACATATATTTCTACTTGGAGAAATTTAAGAGGCTTATCCCTCAAAACTTTAAATACAATAAAGTTGCAAAAAATAGTTTCCCACCACAGGAAATTTATTTTGAGTGTCTTCATAGTTTTATTTTGGAGATACAGCAATTTTTATATACTGCAGGAAAAACAAAAAACAATCCTATGATGCAAATTTGCAAAGAAAACAGCATGTGCATCATTTCACTGTGGGAAGTGTTACGAACAGCTGATAGGATCGGCAAAGCGTGTTTCTGGAATATTATGTTTTTGTTCCTGCAAGCGCTTTTTATGCAATTTTTGCAAAGCTATATGTGGAACGAAACCGTGACCGAGGACAAGCTGATGGCATCAGATGTAAGTACAACTCCTCCGGTTTCATATGCAAAACAAATTATTGCGCTAGCTTACACGGTTCAGGTTCTACAGGGATTTAAAAATAGTTACACAAAACGGAGCGTGCTGCTCTGACGGCTTTAAAGGGTTAACAATGACTTTAAAAAAATAATATAAAATAGTGTGCAACACCACTGAAGTTTTTTTTTTAAACTCTCTTTTCAACCAACAGCAGTCACTCTCCTCTCCAAATAACTTCTGCTTAGCTTTCCGAGCTTCCCTCGGGTCCTCTTAATCAGCGGTCTCCACCCTTTTTTGCGCCACGGACGGTTTATGCCCGACAATATTTTCACAGACGGCCTTTAAGGTGTCGCGGATAAATGAGGGAGGGGCTAATAATCGGCTCAGTCATTTTTAATGATCGTTGAAAGCCCAGATCGTAATCGTGATTAAAATTCGATTAATTGAGCAGCCCTAGTCTCAAGCAAATTTTTAAAGATGAGTTACATTTTTCACAATGTGAGTTTACAGGCTTGGCAGCTTGCTGAACTCAGATTAAAACAATACAATAAAAATTAAAATGGGAGAAATATGCACTTTTCATTTAACTGACTAGAAATAATAGTGATAATTAAAAAAAATCATAATCTCAGCCTTTAATCTGTCTGAAAATCGCAGCCTGTAATGTGTGAAAAACCTGACAAAGTACTTGGTTGTTGAGTTTTACTGGTGTTCTGACATGCAGACAGTTTTATTTTAGTTGTTTGAGTATTTTCAGATATTAATTTGTGTGACTTCTGTCACAACCAAAATACCAACATGGTATTTGGAAATCCAGATGGTGTGATTTTCATACAGACACTTCTCTTTCTAGGAAAGGAAAGATGAGATGCAGTATTTGCAAACAGCTTCATCCGTGTTCATCCTGTTTGTCTACAACTTGCAAATACAGAGCACAGCAGCATTTCCAAGTTGCGTCTTAGAAGAGTAACGTTTAAACTGGATCTCCATTCATCCGGTTGTGTCAGCTGCAGAATCAGCTATCTACAGGTCTTCAGAGAATCTATGAAAGAAGAAGAGTGTTCCTAGCAAATTATTTCCTATTCAGCTAAACAGAAATATTCAGAAACAATATGGGCGTAGCCTTGTTTTGTTGCAGGTTAACACACACATGCTAAGGTGACTGGGTTATATGCCAGTCATATTAAAATACAACCATATTTTCATTTTCTAGAACTTCAAGATTACTAAAAAGCCACTCTGGCTTTACAAGATGCCATCTGTCCCACTTTCACGCAGCTGCTGTACACCTCAGGGAATTAGTCAAGGGTCTGTTTTAGCTCCAGTGTAGCATAGACTGTCTGGGCTGCAGATCCAGCTAGTGACAGGTTGCTGTGCAGCAGAAAGGTTAAATAGCATTATGATTTAGTAGTTTTATTGTTGCACTTGATTAATGTCGTCCAACCAGTTGCAGTTGCTAATTGTGCGGTGGCTCTGACAAAACAGTAGAGCTGCATGTGTGCAAAAGAGAGGCGAGAGGAGGGAGATGGGCACTGTGACATGCATCAAATGATATTTACTCATATGTAGCAATGGATGTTTAAAGTTACCTTAATTAGTGGGCATTAGTGGACAACAAGTAAAACAGTATAAAGTCACAATTTAAGTCTGACGCCATTTAAATTGATTTTTTACAAGTTGCCCAAAATGAGCAAAATGATTGCTTAATCAAACGTATTAGCTTGCATTAGCTAACTTACTGTAACAGCTAGAGCTTGTCTCTTAAAGAAGTCCATACACCTGGCCAACTTAAAGTTAGTGAGTGAACTGGTGGACCCTTGTTTTAGGAAGGTATGAAA